AGTACTTGAAACCAAGCACTGTCATTATAATTCAGCATTATCTCCAGCTGCTGATTCGATGACTGAAGGCCGATTGGCAAGATGCAAATTCAACTTTCTAGCATTATTCTAATAAGCAGAAAAGCCAAGGGCCTGTCATTTAACAACCCAAAGCCTATATAAATCAGGATAATAATTTTATGAAACTAAGCTGGATGCAATTATTATCAGAAGGAAGTACTTAGTTTGTAAGGGAACATTTGCTTGAAGAAAGAAAGAAAGAAAATGATCTTATTTTTAAGGATAAGATTCATTCAATTAAAAAAAATGGGTATTAAAGCAGCTCTCTAGGAAAAAGACCAGGGATTTTTTGCTTGCTTCAAAGGGAGGTTGCATGGCATGAAAAATGTCTTTCTCCTCTTCTCTAAAAGCATTAAAATGCTTTTTTTTAAATGCTTCCCTGCAAAGCTTAAAGAAATAAGTTCTTACCTGTCATTTTGAATCTACAGAGGTTATTATGTGTCATGAACCTTTTTGTTTAGAGGCTCCTCATTTTGTATTATGATGCTATAATTAACAGCAATATATTATTGTTTCAACTGTTTTAGTCTACTTCAGTTCTGCACTTAGTTATAAACTCAAAATAAATAGAGCAATTACTATTACTTCTCACAATGTTAGAATTCAGAATCATCCATTCAAATTAAATGAGGAGATTCAGGATCAATAAAAGGAAGCCCTTTTTTCACAAGGTACAATTAAGCCATGGAATCTGCAGTCATCAAATGTGATGATGCATACACGGTATTTATGGTTTTAAAAGGGACTGAATAAATTCATGGAACATCAGGTTATCAGTTCTAATGGCTGCCTTGAGGAATAGTATCTATGTGTAACTTGTAGCAGGGATGGCTTAAAATCTCACTATGAATGGGCCAATTCCTGGAACAATAAGACATCTAGACTGTGGAGTTCTTGGTGCTCGCTAAGATGTTTTATTACCTAACTAGGTGCTAACTAACTTGAACCAAGTTCAGAGAGCACCAAGAATTCCACAGTTCAACCCTGAGCTACATATACTCTCTTCTACTGACATCTAGAATGCCTGATTTGAGTATTTTGGTAGCTAGAAGACAACTATCTGAGTCTTCTGAATTACGTTTATGTGAGTAAGCGAGAATGAGCAAGTTTGTGGCAAACTTTCCTTTGAGATAGTTTTGGGTATTTGTGAAAGAAAGCTAACTGGGATTGGACAGTAGAAAAATGCAATTATCTCAGCCTAAGAAATCTTGAACATGGTCAAGAAACCTGGATGTTTTTAGGGAGTGCTTAATTCAACATTAAGGAAAACAAGCACTACTCGCAGACAGGTGCAATTTCTGCCCTGGGAAGCATTGTAGAACTAATCCATCTACATGGTTGAGCTTCATATATATTTATTCCTTGTAAGTTTAAGACCATTTGTTACAGTATGAATAAAGTCTACTGTAATAATATGTATTAGGAATACTTGTATAAGTGTTGGAATGACTGAAAGCAGGAATCCTTCAGGGGCTCTGCTCTGCAAGTGGCTGGATGTGAGACCCAGTTCCTGAGGTTGGGCACATGGGATCAGTTGGGAGTGTTGCTTTTGTACCAGCCTCCCTGCTGTGTAGCAACCTCCCTGCCTGAGCTGCTGGAGGCCATCTTGGGGTTGGCAGTGGGGTTCCCCAGGCTTATGGTCTTGGGGGACTTTAATCTGTCATCCCTGGGGCTGGCCTTGGAGGTGGCTTGGGAGTTCATGGCTACCATGGTGGCCATGGACCTTTCCCAAGTCATCCACAGCCCAACTCGGGACAGTGGTCACACCAGATATGGTTTTCTTGTCGGAGCAGTGGCAGCGTGATCTGGTGGGGGATTTGATATTATCCCCTGTCTCATGGTCAGACCACTCCCTGGTGGCCTTGAGATTCTCCTATGCTGCCCCCCTCCGCAGGGAGGCGGGACCTATTTGAACGGTCTGCCCCTGGCGACTGATGGACCCGCAAGGGTTCCAAAGGGAGCTGGGGGTTGTTCCTGAGGCCTTGCTGTACAGTCCAGTGGAGGCCCTGGCTGCAGCCTGGAATAATAAGGCAGCTAGGGCCTTGGACAGGATCGCGCCTGTGTGACATCTCTTGGCCTATTGCCCATGACATTCCCCGTGGTTTATGGAGGAGTTAAGGGAGATGAAAAGGGCCAAGAGGTGTCTTGAGTGCCGCTGGCAGAAAACTAAAGATGAGTCAGTGGGTTACAGCCACTATTAAGGCCTACCTTGTGGCGGTAAGGGTGGTGAAACATCAGCATTTCTCCGCTCTTATTGCATCCTCAGAGTGTCGCCCGGCAGCCCTGTTCAGGGTCACTTGGTCCCTCCTGGGTGGGGGTGGGGGGCTTGGAGAACTATCTACAGGGTTTTGCAGAGGAATTTGCTGAATACCTGATGGATAAAATCACTCAGATCTGTTCTCACTTGGAGGCTGAGCGTGAGGCGGATCCAGTGGGGATCCCTGGGGAGCAGTCTTACCCAGTTATCTGGGAATGGTTTGATCCTATTGGCCCTGAGGAAGTGGACAGGGTCCTCGGGGCTGTTAGCGCGACTATCTGTATTTTATCCTTGTCCCTCCTGGTTGGTTAAAGCCACCAAGGAGGTGACTTTAGGGTGGGTACTGGCAGTGGTCAATTCATCCTTGCAGGAGGGGTGTTTCCGAAACCTTTTAAGGAGGCTTTGGTCTGCCCCCTCCTCAAGAAACCTTCACTAGATCCCACCCTACTGGACAATTTTCATCCAGTTTCCCACCTTCCCTTTTTAGGAAAGGGGGTGGGAAAGGGGGTCACGCAGCAGGTTCAGGGGG